GTGAGGTCAGAACTTCTGTAGATGATGCTGTGAAAAAGCCAAGGAACCCCTAGACCCAATAGGGGGCCAGCAGCAGGCACTGCTGAAATGTACTAGAAAAAAATGAGCATTCTGATGAAATATCTGGAGGATCTTTGGAGAACTGGACAGACTGAGACTTCACCTCCTGTGCATGTGAAGGACAGCCCACCTCTGGAGTGTCACCACATACGTTGTACGGTCAGGCATGCAGGTTACCCAGCAAAACACGGCTTTTTTTTTAGTGACTTGGAGAGAAATTATGAAAATGAGAATGTGAGAGATTAATAGTTCTGGTGTGGATCAGGAACAAAGACAGAGAACACAGTTTTCAACAATTGCCTTGCAGATGACCAAGGCAATGAGGACTTGTTTTTAGGACTTTTCAGAAAACAACTCCTCAGTGTTAGAGCAGAATCAGGATTTAAATTTTTATGTATGACATCCCAGAAAATAAAAAGGTGTAAATTCAAGAACAAGAGTGAAATGATCAAAATATTCACTCTATGAATCTAAGGTATGAAAAGGAATGACTGAGATATTTGAATTTCTCTCAGGACTTAGACAGTTATGACTTTCCAGAGATACATTATGTTAATATATAATACAAATATGTAACTTTCAGGACTACTCATAGCACAGTCATTGAGACAATTAGAAATAGTCATAAGGAGGCACTTAGTTCAGGACAGCTAATATATTTTTAGTTGTTATTACTGACCAAAGTTTTAATTTTTTTCTTGATATATCAATTATCTGAAAACTGTAAAATAGCCTTTCATATGCTTCACTGAAACTTTGAGAGAGGGGACATTCAAAATGTATAATGATCCAGGCATTGTCATTGATCCTCGTTGGGACTGGGTATACAGCTCTGTCACTGTCAGAGATGTGTGCTGTGCCATACATGGTGGGTTAACATTCATCTCTCTGAGCTAATCTTATGTTGTGTATCCTATTTATCTGATTCTTTCTTAACTTTTTGTTTCATGTATCTTTAACAATGTCTTAGGTTTCCTTTTTGAAGTTATTTATTTATTCATTTATTTATTTATAGACAGTGTCTCATGTATCCCAGGCTGGCCTGGAACTCCATGTGTACTAAAGGATAACCCTGAGCTTCTGCTTCTCTTGTCTCCACTCCTCAGTGCTGGGATTACAGGTGTGCACCTTGATGGCCAGTTTATATGATGTTGGGGATTGAACCCAGGGCTTTGCTCATGCTAGTGCAAGTGCTAGGCCAGCTGAAATACATCTTTAGTCCTAATTATGTGTTTTAAAAGCTGTTCAAGCAGCTGTCAATGGTAGGGATTTTTTCGTTCTATGGAGTTTCCCGTTTTTCAGTTGAGACAGTGAAATACTGGGGAGCCTTTGGTAACTGATTGACTCTTGGTTTTGATAACTCAAATTAATTTGTGTATTACACATGCAAAAATAATATATAATATGTACAAAACCATATGGCATCACCCACAGAAGAAAATAATTATCTGGTTTCTTATAGGGAAAAAAGAAGGCATAACTCTGCACGGTATGTGTAGGGGAAAGGCAGAAATTCCAGGGCCAAGGGCAGGAGGAAGCTCTGTCAGACCTGTCACAGGCTCCTAGAGTGGCTCCTGTCACTGGCCTCCTGGGAAAAGGTGTGGCCTTGACTTTTTCTCCTCTTCTCTACTGTTTTGTTTTGGGGTCCTTCTCTCCTAATCCCAGCTCTGCATGTCTTTGATCTTTTGTTATGACTCTCTATTCTGCAGTTCAGCACATTTCTCTTTTAAAATATTTTATTTTTATTTTATGGTATGAGTGTATTGCCTGCATGTGTGCAAATGCACCTGTGTTGTGCAATGTCTGCGGAGGTCAGAAGGGGGTGTTGGATCCCCTGGAGCTAGAGTTACAGGTGGTTGTTAGCCGCCACTGGGTGCTGGGAAGAAACCAGGTCCTCTTCAAGAGCAGTCTTATAAGAACTATTGGGCCATCTCTCCAGTTCAGCACATTTCAATCTCAGAACCAGATCTGACCCCAGGCAGGAATTTTCTAGCCATACCAATCAACTGATTCATGAGTCCTCAGGGGAAGTTGCTAGTGGTTTCTAGACAGAAGATTTTCAATGTAGTTATAGAAATTTAACTATTAGAACATCTTACATACATGGATTTCTCCTAAGTCCTTGTATGTAACTTTGTCTTCATAATTATGTATTATTTTCTTACAGAGATGTCCTCTTCACCCAAATTCATAATATTCAGGGCCTCACAGAACCTGCTTCTCCTTCAGATTCTAGAATATATATTTTGTCCTTTGATAAAAGTAGGCAATAAGGAAAAATCATAACATTTCTTTCCTGCTTTAGGATGTTTTGCAGGGATATGATGGTTGGAGCTGCTGCAATTATTTTGTGATTATGAGAGGAAAAGCAGAATTATGGTAAAGATGGCTCAGGGACTTGATATCACTGAGTTGCTAGATTAAGCAACCCTGGAATAGTTTACCTCCAGCCTTTTAATTAAACGAGATAGCAAGTCTTTAACATTGAAGCTATCATTCAAGTAATCTATGAAGCTGGGCATGGTGTCACATGCCTGAAATCCCAACACTTGGGAGGCTGAGGCAAGAGGAGAGTGAGTTTGAGGCCAGCCTGGCCTCTATAGTAAGTTCCAGGCCAGCCTGGGTAATTTGGCAGTACCTTATCTCAAGAAGACAAGACAAAACTAAAACTATAAAAACAAATAGCCTATGACTTATGATCAAGCACATTTTTTTAAAAATTATTTATTATTTTTATTTTACATGTATGAGTGTATTGCCTGCATGTATGTGAGTGCACCCGTGTCGTGCAATGCTGCGGAGGTCAGAAAAGGGCATTGGATTCCCCTGGAACTGGAGTAAAAGATGGTACATAGCTGCCACATGGGTGCTGGGACTCAAACCTGGGTCCTCTGCAAGAGCAGTCAGTGCTCTTAACCGCTGAGCCCTCTCTCCAGCCCCAATCAAGCACATTTTAACTGCCACCCTTGGGTCTTCCAACACAGTTCAGTCATTCAGAAAGATACATCTTCTTGCTGAATGTGCTACAACAGGATGTTATATTAACTTTTCTAGACAGAACCTCTGCCAGCATGGAGGAGCTCTCCCTTCCCCCATGCCTAGGTCAGTAGACTTCCACTCCTGGCTAAAGTGGTTTCATAGGTTCTGTCTCACCCTTGTAGGGGCCCAAAGCATTTCCCACTGGAAGTGCAACAGCACCTCTAGTTGTCCAACCTCTCCATGGTGACCTCTGCCTTTGCCTCTGCCCTACCTGAGCCTATTTCCACCAAATTATGCTCCAAATCACCCTGCATCCTTTCAGTCTCCCTCTATCCCATAAACAAGCCTCTCAGCCTCTCAACACTTGAGCTAAACATGAGGTGGCAAACGCCCGATGCACACAGTCACACAGTCACATTGAGGTACATACAAGTGGCGGTCGACCGTGACTTAATTCTCGTTGTTATTTACTTTCAGAAACTCCAAACAACTTTACTAGAGCTTTATGAAATGAAAAGAGTAAGACACGGGAAAAAAGTGAGTTCTTTGCTGTGACTTGGAAGGTTGGCTTTACAGACTGAAGTCAGATAGGCCTCTACCCAGGCAGGCTCCATGCTGGACCCTGAGAAACTTCTGTGCTTGTTTGTTACAGACCTCATATTGCATGAATGAAATCAAATGTACTTTCGTCACCATTATATAGTGCTTTTATGTCACACACGCACACACACACACACACACACACACACACACACACAAGGGATGAGGCTATATAGCTTAAAATCATCTCGTTCCTGGTGAAGTTTGAAGTGATATAAAAGTGAAGAGAAGCTTTTGATTCTTGGAAGTGGCGGTGCTAGTGGGCAGAAAAGACCTTTTGGAGACTGTTTTGTCTTTAGATTTCTTTTTTAAACAAGATCTGCTAGGTAGCCCAGGCTGACCTGGAGTTTGCCATCCTCCTGACTCGGTCTCCGGTTTTGGAGACCCTATAAATAGCATGGCCAAGGAGGGCACAGTCTTAGAGGAGCTTGGCTGGTCTCTACCTTCTGTTGCCAATAGCACCAACCAGATCTGTTTTGTCCTCAGGTCTTTGGTGACTAGATGCTCCTCTCTGCAAGCACACAGCGTGGTGCAGCCCTGCTGAATCACTCGTGTTAATGCCACAAAGTCCCCATGGTTTCATGACCAGCTTGCTGACCCATGAGTATTTCCACCGATGAGGCTCCTGCTTCCTCTCTAGCACATTATTTACTAGTCTGGGTCTTTTGAACTGTTGGTCTCAATGCTACCCTTTTTCACTGTGCAGTCTGATGGAAGCACAGCCCACCTTCAAACTTAAGTCTGAAGTGTCCCACGTCCTCTTTAGGAACAGAATGTACACATGTCGTGAGCATGGATTCCCCTGGGAGGCAGGACCTTCCCACACTGGCATATACCATATGTGCATTCAAGAGTCTGTTGAGCTCAGAGCCCAGAACAAGGAGCAAAAAGTCACTCAGGCCTAAGGCAACAAGGGCTTAGCCAAAACTGTAAGATAATCTCTACTTCAAAAACTGTCTGGTAACTGGGGACTTGAATCTGTGCAGCTCTGTTTTCCAAACATTTCTTATAGCCTGGCCTCTCTTGGCTTACCACTGTCCTAAAGCAATTGTTTTGGTTCACAGTAATTATTCTGCTTTAAGCTGAACAGGTTATGTAGAAGCTTGGGTAATTGAGTTAAGGCCCATTTATTACAATACAGCAGATCTGGAGCCATGAAGTCTAAATTCTGACTCTGGGTTTGTGCCTAAAGCTAGTGTCGACCAAGTCATCTGATCCAGTCTTATGACTTTATAAACAAGGAAACAAGGCAGTAAAGGACATCTAGTTGAAAAGATTCCTTAGATTCTCTATAATTGCTACTTACCTTTGGGCTGTTTGATAGAATTTGGATAATAAATGGTAACATATTTTATAATTACCTCTGTTATGAACCACCCTTCATCCGCCACCAAAGTCAAAGGTGAGACAAATTTGCCTTTCTTATAATAGAACCTGCTGGGTATAGCTTCTTTCTCATACACAGTCATGTGTTCTACTGTGCTGAGCTTGCGATGTACCTGCAAAGAAAAACAAGAATGAGCTGTTTGCACTCTCTTAAATGTTACATGACACTGTAAAAATCAAAATATAAATCACAAACATCTCATAGATTTGACTGCATTAAGATGAGAGACTTTTCTACAGCTCAGAAAGCAAGCTGACTAAAGGAAGACTAAAGGTTCACCTACTCCCTGACATCAGAAGTGAACCCCTAGAATATAATGAAAATACCGCATGCATGTACATCTGTAGATGTGTGCTCAGAACCGCTCAGAGGCAAAGAAGAAGCAACAAAGAGAAGATAAAAATGGAAGAAATGAAGAATTTCTGGTGTTGTTCTTTGATGAAATACTATAAAACAATGAAGATGCCTATATCAGAACAACAAGGACACATAGAAGGCTGTCAGAGAGTCAATTTGAGGAAAAATAATATAAACTGTAGACAGAAAAGATTATTCTTATCATATAAATCTCAGGTAACTACACACAATAAATGGTAACTTCATAGTGGGTTTTTGAGAAGGCAGAAAATCTCATGGGCTCTGGAAAGGACTTGCATAGACCATGTCAATATTCTACTTCTTAAGTGGCTATTGAATATAAGATAACCATTGCAACATTATCTTCTATACCTCACACATTTTCCAATAATGGTTTTGTGTATATTCACTAATCAACTAGTGAACACGTCACAAAAATTAGTTGTCAAAGTTCAATTCACTAAAAGTAAAAGGCAAATAAGAAATCAGCCTGGCTGATGCTAACTGCCATTGGGATCAAAGAGAAGAAAGTGCTCTTCAACTTGACCTTGAGAGTATGGCCTACCCACAAAGCACCAGGAGTTTTTTGTTATCAACGACATTCACTGCCAGTTCCATGATGCAGATGCAGAGTCTGTAGACTCTTCCCATACCCAGCAGTAGCTTAAATATTCAGGGCTAAAATTAAAATCAACCTGCTGATACTGGTTTGCTGGCCGTTAGCCAAATCAGGCATATATTCCCAGATACAACTGAATATAAATTGTGTTTCTTCACTCAACTCAAAAATAGTTTTCAGGATGGTAAGTAGAGAGCTGTAGATGGCTCTGTGAATTAATATACCCTATTTGATTTTAAAAAAATCTATGCAGAATTTTTTTTGGATAAGTAAAAAATCTGTAGACATACAACAGATCTTGCAGGCTGTTGTGTCCATCACATGACACAACTGTCAGGCAAACACAGCCCCCACTTTTGAATCATCACCAACTGCTGTTGGCTGCTTGCAGTATTCTGTGCACATCACGATGTAAGAAACTCTCCCAGATCCTGAGTGTTGATCCCCGGTAATACTGGAGGTATCACATTCCTAAGTACCAAATTCGAGACAAAGATGATCTTCCTTGCCAGGAAGACAGAACTATTTCCCAAGAATCTGCCAACGTGTAGAATATTCTTTCCAATTTCGTATTCAGGCAATTTGTGGGACATTGTATAAATATATTTAACATCTTCACTTTCTAGCTATAGAGCCTGAGAAAAAGGAGCCTCTTCCCTGGGGATAGGACAAGACCCGGGGCAGTGGTGTTGTTGGTAACAGACCTCAACAAAGGGCAAGTACGGTGGCAAGGGGACTCTCTCTGGATCAAAGTGTTGGGTCTCTGGCTTCCACCCTAGCACTATGGCTAATGATAACTGTTGAGAGGCAACTGCTCCACTACCATAAGAATTGGGGTGGCATCAGTCCCCAGGTTCCTCCTCGATCCCCTGGGGCTGGCGGCCTACCATCTCCAGAGAAAGACAGATGTTTCCAGGTCCACGTCAGCTTCTCTAGGATTGGGCAGACGTATCCCCTGCCCTCGGAAGTGATGGAGCAACTTGAGCCCTAAGCTGTCAACCAAAATTGTTACCCGTTCCTCATTTATTTTTTATCACCCATTGCTAGTTCTAATGACTATTTTTAAGATGGTAAAAAGAGAGCTAACAAGCACGGGACACTGAGTTTCTAGAAGGGAGTGGTGGGGTGTTAGTCCTCAGCTGTACACTGTAGGAAATTGAGGTCTTCTTGAGAACCTTCTCCTTTGATGGTGATCTTTACAATAAGCACCACATACACAGTCTCACTGTGGGCCCAGCCTGCTTCTGTGTGTTCCTATGGACTTGAGGGATGTCACAGTGTCATTGCCAGGCTCACATATAGAAGGCAGAGGGGTCAGGGTGGGCATCATTCCTTATTCCAGGTTGGTGACAGAGCTGGGATCAGAGCCCAAGGATGTGGGTGTGAGGTTGAGGAGATAACCCACTGCACACGTGGCCTCAACTCTCTTCTTTAATCACCTTTGTACATCCAGTCTCCTGGTGAAAATGAGATGGATCAGAGTAGCAGCTCCCTTCTAAAGAGCCTGCCTCTGATAGTCACTAAATGTTATAATAAAACAGTCCTAAACCAGAGCTTGCTTATATCAGTTGGACATTTACTAAGCATGGAGCGTCCTTCATCTCATTTAATTTTTATAAAATTCGATGGGGAGATACTGTTAGAGAGAAGAGCAAACAGGGAAAATGAATGATCTTACAGAGGTTACAGAGAAGCGAGTAGCAAGCTACATCACCCGATTTTAAAGTCCATGCTCCTAATGCTGTACTATATTTTAGTATGAAAACTCCTGGGAAAAGGTAAAACACAGCCTGGAGCCAATGAGCCCATATCTCTCCTCCATCATGACATGTCTTGCCTCAGAGTGTTTCCTGGGTGCTGGCCAAAGGCTCACGACAGGCCCTCGGTCCTTCACTTGATGCAGGTCATCCAGGCTGATGTACTTGTCCAGCTCAATCACTTTGTCCATCCAGAAAATGTCAGTCATCCCATGGTCTGAGAAAATGATGACGTTCAGGTCATCCTGCAAGCCCCGCTCCTGTGGGGTGGACACAGGCAGTCATCAGAGTTGTGACAGAAAGGGCTTCAACACAGAAAGTCTCATAAGGACCTACTTTAAACTAGAGATTAGAGGAGAAGGGATATATCATGTCATGGTTGACTTCAGTTGTCAACTTGACACAACTGAGAAGACGGAACCACAATTGGGGAATTTCTTTTATCAAACTGGCCTGTAGACATGGTCTATGAGGCTTTTCTTGATTGTTGAGTGATGTAGGAAGGGCATAGCCCACTGCGGGTGGTGCCACCCCAGGCAGATGGTCCTGGGGTGTGTAAGAAAGCAGGCTGAGCACCAGTCAGATAAGAAAGCCAGTAAGCAGTGTTCTTCCATGGTCTGTGCTTCAGTTCCTGCCTCCAGGTTCCTGCCCCGAGTTCCTGCCCTGGCTTCTCTTGATGAAGGACTATACTGTAAGCTAAAATAAACCCTTTCCTCCCCAAGTTGGTTTTGGTCAGTGTTTTACCACAACAATAGAAAGCTAACTAGAACAGGGTATTGCTTCAGATTGAATTTAATCATCTACTAATCTGCCTGATGAAAAGTTCAAATCATGACAAAAGACTTTTGAGGAGGTACATAGAATAACAGATTCCACCCCAAAATATGCTGTATAACCAGGCCAAGTTTTTGCTTTTTAAGGTACACCCTCTCTTTTAATTTTCTTTCTCTCTTTCAATAAACTTGTGTGGTGATATAAGAACCGCTGTTTGCTGATATTGTAGATATAAAAATAAAACAAAGTAAAAATATGAAAACGAAAATCAAAAGAATAAGCAAACAGAAGCTTGCTTTAAGTTGTTAAGTTGGAACCCAGATCTGGGCCCCATGTCCATGCCAAGTTGTTAAGAACAGGACTAGTTCTCCAGTCAAGCCCTGTAATAACATACATCTAGACCAGTTAAATCCCACCAGATGTCTGTGGGACAAGGGGTCCCTTGGTGCCGTAGGAAGTATTGAGTAAAGAAAAGAGCATCATGCTGGCCTAGTAAAGAAAGAAATTGTTGAAGGGAGTGGTGTGACAGTCATATGGCAAGAGAGATGGGGAGAACACTAGACTGGATGCCCATGCTTTAGGTCACCTGGATCCACTGGGTCATGTACTTCAGAACAGTGTCCACAGCCTTGAGGGCGTCTTTTCTCTGAGGTGAAGAGGGACCGTAATGGTGGCCCTCCACATCGATGCGCTCATGGTATATGGCTGCTAGATCAGCCCGGCCACTCCTAGAGGGAACAGAATGAGACAGTCACAATGAGGGGGAAGCCCTGCCAGCTTGTTCTCACAGGACCCACCAGTCCTCTGTGACGGTGTGAATATCCCCCAAACCCTGCCAAATGGACCATGCAAAACCCATATTTCCACATGAATAAGGTGGAGGGATACTGAATTCAAGGTCTTTCATCCTGACAAAAGTTGGAGACTGTGTCTACTGCTCATTCCTTGCTCTGGTCATACTGTATTGGTCCTCAGGACCCCCAAAGGTAGAAGGCATGGTAAGAAACAGTGGATAGTTCTTCTACTTCCACTTGTACCACCTGCTGAGATCGCAAAGTCAGAAAACTGGAGGCAATGGTTACCTAACTGCTGTTAAATTATTGCTGGACTTTAAGGAAGTGTCAAAACATTAGCTTGTGGGTCTGATTAGCAAGAATAAAACAGCAACTTTGGGGAATGCAAACAGATTAATGCTTAGGGTCTGACACCATCAGACACACCCAGGACACTTATTCCATGGAGATGTGTGATAGGCCAGCTCTTATGTAGACATAGAATGAATTCTAGAAGTAGCCATACTTCTATGGGCCCGCAAACTCTTTCTCTGGGCCAGAGTATCAGTGGTAAAAATCCAAGATGCTTAACCCCCAATGCTGAGTTAAGAATGATGAGAAACATAGGACACAAAGGGGAGAAGTTAGTTTATGGAGAGAAAGAACAGAGAGGAATTCCAGGGAACATCCTCTCCTTTCATACAGCACTTTGCACTGTGACTTCCCTCCTACAGCTCTGCCTTGGCCCATCATCCCATCAAGCACCTGAAATAAATCAGAGCAACAATGATGATGGTGATGATGGCAGAGAGAACCGATAAAGAACAAGCTATTGAAAAAGAAATGAAAAGGTATTGTTCTGTGCTTGGACCTAAATAAGACGTAGTATTAATGTCCTTGGCAGATTGCCTTATTTCTCTCAAAAAACTTTATTTTAAACACATATGCATACAACACATAAACAAACACACACATATATGCACATATACACACACATAAACACACAGTCAAGGATGACCTTGAGCTTCTGATCCTCTTGTCTCCATCTCCCCCAAGTACTGGGATAACAGGTATGTACCACCATGCCTAGATTTTATGTGATGCTGGGGATCAAACCCAGGACTTCATGCATACTAGGCAAACACTTTACCAGCTCAGCTATATACCTAACTTTAGAATTCAGAGAGCTCAATACAGTGGTCAACGTCACAAAGCTAGTAAGAGATGGATCCAGGTTTCAAGCCCAAGTCTCTAGAATACAACTACCACTAAGAATAAACTAAATAGCCCACATCAATGAAGAAGCAACCTATTCAGCCTGAGTGATCTTTTGGAAACCCTTACTCTGTTGCATGATTGCTACTAACCCCTAGAAGCTGGATGGGAAAAGGGTAACAATGTGAGACACCCTCATTTTCAGTTCTTGACACAGGTACCCTGTGTCTATGTGGTGACTTTGTTACCAGGCCTGGAGCTACAGTGACAAGTGCCCTCAGAGAAGAGCATTTACAGATTTGTACAGGAATAAGCAAGCTTCAGAGGGTTCTAGAAGTTTTCAACGCCCTTGTAGATTTCTGAGACACATCTGGAACTTGGAAAGGTAAACTGGACCTTTGAATGTCTATCAACATCTCCATCTTCTGAACTAGAGAAGAGAGTCCAGGGTTTTCTTTTCCTGTGTCTTCCTTCCTTGTGGTTACACATACCTTACCAAAGCATTGATATTCTACTGGGATGCACATCGTTAATGACTTGGAGAAAACATTGGTTTCAAGTTAAGAGAATTTGTTAGTCAAATGTTCTCTTCTCTTTTTAGAACAAAATAAAGTGACCCTTCATTAATAAGCCCCATTACCACCCTCCTCCACAATATGGATTGGGTTAGGTTAGTATTTAGATTTTTCTCACAAATGATATTATTATTATTTATGCTCCCTAATGTGCAAATGACTAATCCAGACTCCCTCTGCATCTACACCCAATCAAGTACACACAGTCCCTTTAGGGTCCCATAAGTATGTATGTAGAGAGGGGGGAGTTTGTACTAGGTAGTATAATTTTCATCAATATGCTGGAACTTGTTTGCAGCCCATGTTCATTAGTCTGCTAGGGCTTGGGGCTCTCCCTCCATCACTACATCTGAACACAATGGAACGTTCCATAAAATCTGCCCTGCAGATAAGCCTTCACATTTGTCTGCTTTATGTACTGGCATCTTAAGCATTCCAGATGTGCTGGTTCATGCAATACAACATCTGTTTAGGTGTCCACACTTTCAGCATGAGCCTTACATGTGGTAGGAAATCCCACTTTATACAGTGGTGACTTACTGTGGCATTAAAGTTCAATGACATATTCCCTGGTTCCTTCATTTTAACACCCCACCTTGGTAATGCAGGCAGGTTTCTCCAAGGTTGTTTACCACATTCACAAATCTCTGTGTGATTAGAAAGCTGGAAAGTGTCACAATTTACCTGATGGCATTGTTTCAGGAAGCTGTCAACCTCAAATGCCATGAACACTTGATTTGGGATGCTTGTGTTTCAGGGAATACACACAGGAGAGGTTTCTATGTAAAGATTTCATTGATTCATTAGGGACTGAGGTCTCCAAGGGCTGACACTTCTTGCCTGCTTGGAGTTCAGCAGATAAATTTTTGGTAGCCAGCTGTTTTCCACGAAGGTCTGGTCTCTATCACAGGTCAGCTCGTTTGTAAGGGGGTTGGGTGAGGAGAAATGGGTGGAAATGCCTGCAGGCCTGCTATTGGCCATTTACAGCTTTGAGGTCCAGGAACCATGCCAGGAGGACATGTGGCCATCAAACCCAGTTCCCAGAAAGTTTCAGGGGGCCTTAAACTGTAGGGTTTCAGGGACACCCAAGTCTCCTATCACCTTATGATTCTGTCCAGATTACTTTGCAATATAAAAAGTTCATAATGTCACATCCATTTTCCTTACTAAAGTGGATCAGGAAGAGAGAATTAGGCAGAGAAAAATGGAAGCAATTTCAATAAATGGTTAGTTATTGACTGTTAGGAAAAAATTATCTAAGAGTTGAAAAGAAGGTCCCTGAAATGACAGCCTGTCCTGTCCCTTCAGCAGCATATTGGAGCACTGTCCAAAACACTTGCTTAAAAGTCACCAGATTTCACTGCTGGTTATCATTCTGGCTCTGTAAACCTAGCTGCTAATTGGCAGAAAACAGATGAGATAAAACTTGTACTTTCTGATAGAGAAAGTAACCCTCCAAATTATAGTCTGATCATCCTCAAAGTTATTGACATTTCTACACTGAACAAAACTCAAATCTCATCATTCTCTGGTGTCCTTTTTCTTTAACGGTGCGCTTCTTAAATTCTCCTGCTAACTACCTCGTTATTCTCCCCATTCCTTTTGTAGTAAACTGCCCGGACTCTTGGAAGAATTTTCATAAAAGATGTAGTGAGAACATGCCAATTTTAATTTTGAAAATTACTTTTTGACAGGAGAACAAATCTGGGTTCAGATCCTGGCTTCTTTCCTCACTAATGAGGTCTCAGATGAATGACAAAAATATCTTTAAGCCTCAATTTTCCTGTCTGAAAAACCTGCCCAATACCTACATTGAGTATTAAACTCATTGATGTGTGTAGAGTGTTAGACACACAACAAAAGGGAAAGAAGGTGAAAGAAATGTCTCCATGCCTCTTTCCTTCCTATCATCCCCTGTGGCTTTCCTGATTGGAGGTCAAACAGAGAGAGGCATCCGTCCCCACTGAGCAGAAGCCTGCATCTCTCTTCGTCAGTTCATAAAGAGGAGGAAATCGGGTCAATATGTTTGAGCTGGATTCCTTTGGCAGGTGGAAAGAATTCTCTTGTAATCCATCTATTCCTTTATTAACATTAGCAGTGACTCTAGTTATAAGATTCTAGAATGCCAAGGAATATAGGAATCCCTCTGCAGCTGTGTCCAACAGCTTGGAGCTTAACAAAGAACATCAGCTATAGTTGGGTGTGGTGGCATGCATGGGGAGGCAGAGATAGGTGACTCTGTGACTGAGGCCAGCCTGGTCTACATAGTGAGTTCCAGACTAGCTGGGGCTACAGGGAGACCCTGTCTCAAAAAAACAAAACCAAAAAAAAAGAATATCAACCACAACTACTGTTCCTTCAGTTCAGTGATTTCTTTGTTTTTTGTTCGTTTGTTGTTGTTTGCAACTTATGGTCTCACACATGATGTCAACCTAACATTCTGTTACTCAACTCTCCTTATATTTTTCTTATATTTTATTCTGAGATAGGATCTCACACAGTTGTCCAGAATGGCTTTGAGCTCACTCTGTATCCCAAGCAGGCCTTGAAAGTCATGATTCTCCTGCCTCAGCCGCCAGAGTAGCTGGGATTATAGATCTGTATTACCAGGCCTGGCTTCCAGTGGTTTTTGGACCAATGCTTTGGTGAGATTGCATGGTCTGCTGGTACCATGTCAGAAGCAGTTTCCTGACCCCTCTCCATGAACCCAGCACTCACTGGCTATCTCCTGACCCCTTCTCTCCTCCAGAAACTAAGTTTAAGGCCTATTTATTCTTTTTTCTGGTCACTGACTCATGAAACTCCTGCAAACAGAACTGCCAAGAAGATGAATCAAGGGATGTGGATCACGATCTGCTTTGTGTTTAGAAGGGGGTGGCAATGTGTGCAGGGGTGCTGCCCCTGAGTCCTGTGTGTAATGGCAAGGCTCAGAAAGCACCAGCACTGGTGACTGGGGCTTCGTATTGCTGAGTTCATAAAGCCTAATCCACTTTGGATCTGCGAGAGCCCCAGCCCCAGGATGGCTCAGAAAGGACAACTGCAGAGGGATTCTTAACCTCTTTTCTCTGTCTGACTCCTTCTTCAGAGCATCTTAGACGTCTGAGTGTGGAGTGGATTGGAGGATCAAGGAGCCATTTTCAGTTACTTCACATGCAGGAGAGCCCTAGGAGCCTCTGCAGAAAGAGCTGGGTGCTGATTCCCTACCCAAGAGCTTATGTGATTAAGACAGGGTGAGTTAACCTTCAAGAGTTGGTGATGCCTTGGGGCTGGAGGGATGGCTCAGCAGTTAAAGAACACTGGCTGTTCTTGCAGAAGACCTGGGTTTGAATCCCAGCACCCACATAGCATCTAACATAGCAATAACTGAATGTAACTCCAGTTCCAGGGAATCCAACAGCCCCTTCTGTCTACTGCAGGCATTGCACTTAATACACACGTACACATAAAATAAAAATAATAAAATAAAATATATACAAAAAAAGAGTTGGTTATATCTTTTGTGTAATGGGGAGAACAACACCTATGTAACACGATAGAGAAAGAACAAAGTAGGTAATGGAAATAAAGCCCTTTGACCTGATGCTATTGGTATTGAAAATATCAACTTTCTTCCCCTTCTCCTTTCTTCTATCCTAAAAGGTTTTCTAAATACAAAGGTAGCATCTCACGAGGATATGACAGTGGGAAGACAGTGCCCAGATCACATGAGTGATGAGTTATTTCTTCCTGCCTATACATGTGCAGAGTCTTGGTCCACCTGGACTCCTGCTAGGTAGGGCTGCGCCTTCAAGATCTTAATGATCGCACTCAAGTTCTGTCACAGCTTATCTAGCCCATATCCCGTTCTCTTTGCAAAGTGGTCAGACTTTGTGAACAACACTGACTCAGAGGAATGATTGTATGCTTGAACACTGGTGTGGAAAATCCCAGGTGCTCTTCAAATTATAATTAGGAATTTGAGATATCTCTGAACAGAAACCAAAAGGGGTGATCTGGTGTCTAGATTTGCTTTTCCAATCAGGGTTATCTGATGGGAAGTTAAGTCACTATACAACCTTGCCTAAACACACCTACCATGAGAATGAGCCATATTATTTCGTGTATAAGCTGTTACATGTGGGATGAACTTGATTGTTCTAGAGTGCTCTGAACTGGTCATCTCTATAAAGCACTTCACTCCTGAAAAGAACAGGGTTTAGACTTTTGTTTAAAGAAGAGCAAGGGCCTACAAACATCAGTTTTTAGTCTGCTTTGTAAGACAGGAGTGAGAAATGTCCTAATAACGCATAGGATGATGGAGTAGAGCCCGAGTCCTCCCATCGCCCTCCTCAGGCAGTGTCATTTGGCTTCTTGTCTTTGTCATTTCAAGTCCTACCTAGCTTAGAGATCTGAGCAAAAGCCTGTAGTTAGGCAATGTGGAGCACCAGGCCACATAGTGGAGAGGCCTAGCCTGGGGCCCACTCCCTGAACTTTCAGATCTTTTTGACTTTTCCTTTCTTGAGGAGCCCAATCTATCTCTTTACCAAGCACAAGCATATACTCCATCACTACTACCGTAACCCGCAATAATAAAAATAAAGTCCTTCCCATTTCCTGGATAAAGATGCAAATTCCCAGTGTTTTGTTACTTTGTCATGTTGCTTGACAACGAAAACAAAAGGCTTTTTCTGGCGGTGATGACCTCCCTACGAGAACATGCCTCTCACAAAGGCTCTCCTTCATCCCTCTCCAGAAGAGGAGAAGAGGAAATACAAGAAGCCCTGGTGCAGAGCCCCAATCCCTACTTCACGGATGTGAAATGGCCGGGATGCTAAAAAATCACCACGGTCTTTGACCATGCGCAAACAGTAGTCTTGTGTGTTGGCTGCTCCACTGTCCTCCATCAGCCTACAGGCCGAAAAGGACGGTTACAGAGGATGTTCCTTCAGGAGGAAGCAGCACTAAAAGTACCCTGAATCAAGATGAGTGAGAAACTATCCCAATAAACACATTTTACATTTAAAAAAAGGCAAAAAAAACCCCACCAAGACAAAGTTCTCTAGAATAGGCAGAGGCCCTGGGGCTCTCAAGTTGAGCACTCTCTGCTCTTTTACCTGTGGTTATTCACAGGGAGAGTCCATTCACTGCAAAGGCCAGATGTGTGAGAGATCACATTGCCAAGCAGACTGTTGGGCTACTGGGAGGTATTTTTGTGACAGTTACAATCCAAATGCTCGCATTTGGCACGGAAGTAGGCTGTAGGGATGGCTGGCCTTTGGGATATATTGGAAGCAGTACTGAGTAGATATGGAGGCACCCTGAAGTTGCAGCTCTGTTCATCTGTCATGCACGCTGTACTAGCCTGCTTTGATTCCATTAATCAAAAAGCCACACAGGATTCCAGCTCCTCATATGTGTGGTCTCCCAGTCATTGTGGTCAAGAAAAAGAAATCAGATGAGGTAGCAGGCAGCATCATATAACATATATGATGAATAAACTGTGTGAAGAATGTGGGTTTAAAATTTAACTTCCCCCAGACTTTGCTCTTTCCCAGTCCTACCAGAAATAAATTGAACTTTTAAAGTTGTTTCTTCTCAATTTTTTAATTGAAACTAAATTCTCTTTCAGTTTCATGGAGGTGGCATAGTCTAAGAATCAGCCTAGGCTGGGCTCTTGCTTTCTCCTTTGTGGGAATGACTGTGGAAAAGAAAGTGAAAGAATGGCATCCATCACCAGTCACCTGTGGAAGGAGGTATCTTAGAATATGGGAGAGACTGTACTGCCAAGCAGACTGTTGAGTCATCTGGAGGTAACCCAACTCAGTTGGTCATCTCTGAACTTGAGACAATCTTAGATAGTGATACATAGTTGGTCACCCATGTGTCTGAGGCAAGCTTAGCCACAGCTAGTTTGCGTGCTTGATACTACTGACCCATGCACTGTGTTTAGGAAATGTGATCTCTCACAGTATGCCTCACTGGAAGCCATGCTCTTTCTCTTGGAAGGCTAAAGGTCCTGTCCTGATCTGCGTGCTCAGATTCTTCTGAGCCTTCTGCTTTGACTCCGCTGAGGATATCCATTCATCAACCAAGATGACCTCAACTCTAGCTCTGGAAACTTGAGCTCTCCCAACGTGCTCAGCCTCCCAGTTGCTGTTATACTCTCAGATGGCCTCCAGTCCTGAAGACCTGACTTCTACCAGTGATTTCTGGTGCTGACTTGAGGCTTTGTCCTGATTTGTTTTGGTGATCTGTTTCCCTGACAGGCTGTGTGCTATTCAGAAGAGAGTTACTTATTTTTGCATTTTTCACATCCTGTGTCATTGTTCTATGTGGAAGGCAAAAAAAAAAAAATCCCCCAAAATAAAACAAAAACCCACCAAAAACCAAAACCCCCAAATCAAAACAACAACAAAATACTCTGTGTTCTAATATGTTATTGTGCTTTGTGCATTTCAAACAAGGCTGTAAAAGGTAATCTCCTTAAACCTATTGGTCTTTTTGAAAATACTTATTGATACCTTTGAAATATGTTTGCTCAGTAAATTACTATTATAAAAGTGCTAATATTTACATTGTTCCTCCACTGCCTAATGATTTAAAAGGAGGTCTCCAAACCCTGGGAACCTAGCTCTCTATCATTTCCAAACAGTACCCATAGCCAACCAGTAGTTAACAATCATACACGAAACTCTCTGAGACACTGTTCTTCCAAGAAACAAGGAAGAAGGGGATATAGAGACTGCACAGTGGTTAAGAGCATTTGTTGTTCTTGCAGAGGATCAGAATTTGGTTTCCAGCATCTATGTCGGAGAGCTCACAACTACCTGTAACTTCAGCTGCAAGAGATCTGACACCCTCTTCTGGGCTCTGTGGGCACCTGTACCACTTGAGTGTGTATGTGCCTGTGTGGACACACACACACACACACACACACACACACACACACTAAAATAAAAAGTATTTTTAAAGAATAATGATATGGCTGAAATTTGGGACACTTACTTCAATGAGTCAAGAGCATCACTGATTGCATTAGCAAAATTGATATCCGTTGGGACATTTTTATATTCGAGGCAGTAAGTAGGTCTGACACCAAGAATCTCAACTTCACAACCTAACAAGAAAAAGGTGACAAATGGTTACTGTCTCCAGTACTTGGAGTAGGTTAATCAGCCTATTCCATGAAAAGAATATTAGTCAAAATATTTTTATACCTTTTCATAAACTAGAATAACTTATTTCTGATAGCTAGTATATTTAGTTATAATTTTGACTTACTGGAATAGTTTCTTAAATGCCATTCCTATGTCACACTGGTGTTCTATGACATAGACGGCCAAAAATTGGGTGATGAAAACAAAATAAAAATCAATTCATATACAGAAATACCTCATAACTTAAAAATAACTTAAAAATAGAAAACTAACTTAAAAAATTAAGTTTTTCCTGTAACTTTTTTATAAGTAGGGTGTTTTAGTCTAGTGTACCCTTGCCTATTCAAGAATCATATGTTGGGTTGTTTCTGTATGGTCAGAGAAGTACAAAATAGACATTTCCCTATTCTGTGTATAAGAGCTATCTAGATGTTAGAGTTACTACATCAGCAAGCCAATTCCACTGAGTTAAAACAAAGGTTTTGAGACATAGCCTCTCCTATCCCAAAATGTAATCAGAGTGAAAAGCATCCAGATATGAATCAGCTTGGCTTCTCTGCCCTAGACTGTTGGTGAAGGAAAGTAGTTGTTCTGAGGAAGAGACACTTAATCAGATTATCAGAACACAGAGCAGGAGAGGACGATCCAGTCACCGTTTACATTCCTTGAGCAAATATTTATTTGGCACTTACTATGAACTAGGGGCTATGCTCAGACAGAGGAAACAAAAATGAATCAGCCAGGGTCCCCTTCACAGAGCAGCCTGTGGGAAAGAGGAAAATCATGTTCTGGGTGTAGTCTGAAGTGAGGTGTTCACTTGGTGGGTGATATGGGAACTCAGTGAGGGGCATTATTTCCTCCTGAAAACCATGCTTGAATTCCTGTCCTGAGTTCAGTTTATAGACACCGGGATGAAGGCAGGACTGGTTGGGGTCTCATGACAAAGAGAATAGCCTGAGCCAAAGTTCAGACAGCTTGTAAACAATAAAGAGTGATGAAATGCTAGACCCGGGCAATCAGGAGACCAGATGTGGCTCCAGCTTGCAGCCCAGGGAAAATGATTTCCAAGTGGAAGTGAGTAAAAATGAGAGAACTAGAATGTGGAGATAGTAGGTCAGTCCCTAGGAAGACTTCCTTCATCAGTATAACATTGATTGAAACAGTCTGTTGGAGACCCCCATGCCTCTTGGCTTGAGATCTGTGGCAGACCCCATCCCTCCCTGCCTGAGATCTTAGATTCAAGGTAGGCAAGGCACATCTGGGAACTGAAAGAAGACCAGGAAGCTGACATCTCCCCTTCCAAGACATGTTTATTGAGAAGACAAATAGGTGGCATAGCCCAGGAATGAGTCTGCTCATGGCTTCTGGGGAAATATCCATTATTTTCAGAAATGCCAGGGAAATACTGACTGGTTATATTACCTTAATAACTGTGTTTTGTCTGTCAAAGATGGTTTATAAATTTTGGTTGCTGTCTCAAAGTTGTTTATTTACCCTTTGCTTAGTGCTAGAAACATAGTCAGATATTACATGCCCTTCAGAAGTTTAACAGCCTTCTGTAATGTGCTTAAGTGTGGGCCTTTTCACAGTTGGATCATGGGAATGGGAATTTTGAAGTAATGAGATTTTGATCATTATTTTACAGACAAATAAATGGCATGCTTTTTTTGTTGTTGTTTTCAGACTTATATCGGACCATAAATGTTTTTGTATAATCAATGATGGGTATATTTGCTAATATCATCAAACATATGCTCTCTTAATCCTTTTATTTGATTAAAATTAATCTGGTTTTAATGCTGACAGAATAATATCCTTCACCTGAGAAAATGAATCTTAGCTTAAATTACTATGCAAACTGTTTTTGTTGATCAATTATATGTAAAAAAGTGGAGATGCTATTTAATTACTGTAGAGTTCTTTATTTTTTCTTTATTTTAAAAAATAAAGTTTAGTTCCAGATCACTACAGTAAACCAAATATTACAGTAAATCAAGGCACATTAAATTTTTGTCTTTCTTGTGCCTATAAAAAGTATCTTTATGTTATACTATAGTTGGTTAAGTATGAAAATGGCATTTAGATTTACAAAGTGCACTTTTTAATTTAAAAATCCTATACTTCTGAAAATGATAACTATCACATGAAGCATTGGACAACGGCATAATAGATGAACTTGATGCAGGATTGCCATACAAGTCCAACTTCTATAGAAGTGAAATTTCTGGCAAGTATAATAAAACAAAGTATTCCTGCAATTAATTTCACCTTAGTCAAGGGCAATGTAACTAATCTTATGAAAGACTTAAGGACGGCTAAGAGAATTTAGATAAATTCCCCCAAAGTGCACAAACACCACATTGGCTGCCATGTGGTTATATATCCGACAAAGAAGAATTCTGTAAAATATCAAACGATAGTAAGGATGGCCAATGCTTATAACCTGTTGGTAGGAAAATAAAATGATGTAGCCAGTTTATAAAACCATTCACTGGTGTTAAGGTTTGGATGTGAGGTGTCCCCCCAGCCCAAATGCTAATGAATTGAAGGCTTGGTCCCCAGCTGTTGATACTATTTTTGGAATTTCTGGAAATGTTAGAAGATGAGGCCTAGATGGAGGAAGCAGGTCACTGAGGATAGGTTGTAGGGGACATCTTGCTCCTGTTCCTTCTCTCTACTTTCAGCTGCAGGAAGTAAAAATGTTCTTCTGTAACACGTTCCCACTGACATCATACTTTGACCAAAACCATGGGACTAAGAGACCATGGACCAAAACCTCAGAAACCATGAGCCATGGTTTCAGAACCATGAATGAATAAGCAAAATAAACAGCAACTAACCATGAAATAGGAAAATGCAGCTAACCCCAAGAACAGTATTAGCTACATGAAAATATTTTATTAAAAAGTGTGACCCTGGGGGCTGGAGAGATGATGCAGAGGTTAATAACACTGGTTGTTCTTGCAGAAGACCCGGGTTCGAATCCCAGCACCCACATGGCAGCTAACAATTGTCCATAACTCCAGTCCCAGGGGATCCTACAGCCTCTTCTGTCCACCGTGAGCATTGCACGAGATGGGTGCACTTACCTACATGAAGGCAATACACACATACACATAAAATAAAAATAATAAATAAAATATAAAAAAAGTGTGACCCTGTCTAGAACTTGTAATGCTAACTACTTTTGCCTTCACTTCTCCTTCACATGCCCTATTCACCAGTCAAGGACTTTCTTTTCTCCCTGCAGATAAGAGTTATGTAATTTGGGAGTCTTTTAGATAGACCCACTGAAGGGGTAACCCAACTGCCTCACCCTGCATCCCTGTTTAGCATGAAAGAAGTCAGAGTGGTCTGCGTCCTGATTGCCTATCAGCAATTTGGATAACCTCTTCAGAGGATGGTGTGTTAAGAATAGGAGGCAGGAATCAGCTAGGCAGTTAGGGTAAAAAACACCCCAAAGAAAAGTAGACAGTTTCTTGGTTAAAAGTCAAAATGTCCTTGGGCCTCTTAGCAACATACTCTATTCCAAAGGCCAAAAATGTCAAAAGTATTTGTGAGCTCTTATCTAATCCCTAAAAGTTTAGGGTTACCTCTTCAGAGGAGGGAATGTTAAAGTAGCAAAAAGCTCCATTAGAAAGAAAGAAGGAAGGAAGGAAGGAAGGAAGGAAGGAAGGAAGGGGAGGAAGGAAGGAATACATGAAGTTGTCAGAAAAATGTGATAGGGAAATATGGGAGGTGTTGGAGGGGAGCTAGTGGGTGTGGATTTGATCAAAACACCTTATACACATGTATAAAATTCTCAATAAAGTTTTTTTTTTTAAGTTAAAAAAAAGTGTGACATCAGTGGGCCTTAACAGCCAGGACAGAGTACATGGGATCCAGTCAGGGGGCTATGGGAGGGTGCTGGTGCAGGCAGGGTTTATAAAGATGATTCAGATTGTTTGAGATATTCTGTATGAAATGCAACAAAATTTAATAAAAACAAAAAGTGTGACATATATTTTAATATGATAACCTAAATCTAAGATTGCAAATTATTTCAACAGAAAACTGGGAGAGAGGTTGGAGAGATAGTTCAGTGGTTCAGAGCACTGGCTGCTCTTGAAGAGGACTGGGTTCAATTCCCAGCACCCACATGGCAGCTAGCAACCGTCCATAACTCCAGTTTCAGGGGATTCAACACCCTCTTCTGACCTTCACGGGCATTGCATGACACAGGTGCACTTACACGCATGCAGGCAATGCACTCATACACATAAACTTTTAAAATAAATAAAATACTAAAATCCAAAAACTGGGGAGTGCCAGTGAAGGAAAGAAAACATTTTCATTGTTGATGAAGGAAAGGAATAACCAATATACAATATTTCACTCTAGACACTGTTTTAAAAGATTAGGACACGCAAAAGGAATGGCCTGTGGAAAATTACCAAATCAATCAAAGAAGAAGAATAAAGCATATAATTTTTACCAAATATCAAAGTGAATAAAAGTATAAAAGGAAACATTCAAGAAGCACTAATGCTAAAAAATGGGGAAAATATAATATTTTAATTTAAAAAAATATGAAAGCTGTGAAAAACCAGAAGGAGTCAGGAATCACACAAACACTTGCCATTTACGAATCATGTATACACACACACACACACACACACACACACACAGAGGGAGCTTGGAAATGTAAGTACAAGTTTTCCATCTTAGTGAAAAACTTGAGTTCAAGATATAATGAATAGCCAATCACGGTGACTCATATCTGTAACCCTAGTACTTGGGACATTGAAGCAGGAGGATCAGGAGTTCAAAATCAGCCTTGGCTATTGGCTACAGAGTAAGTTTGTGGCCAACTTGGGGTACATGAGGTCCCATATCAAAGACTAAAACAAACAAAAAATATACAATGAGTAAGTAGAGATATATGAGAATTTAGGCTATTTGCGTCAATGCTCTGAATTCA